TTTCAGAGACCTTGTGGTAGTGACTTCTCTGGTTCTCAGGCTTTCAAGCCTGGACTGGACTGCACTATCAGCTTTTCTGGGCTCCAGCTAGCAGAAAGCACATTGTGTGACTTCCCAACCTCCTTAATTTCTAGACTCAATTCTCAGAATAAATCCTCTCTTGTATGTGTCTGTATCCCATTGCTTCTGTTTCTGTGGTGATCCCTGATACTTTGGCTTATCATTAGAAATCCAAGAGGCAAGGCCAGGAATTTAGCTCAGTGGCACCAGGCCTGCCTTGCAAGCGCAAGGTCCTGAGTTTGATCCCTGGTACCAAAAAAAAAGAAATCTAAGACACCTTAGAGCTCCTCTAGTTCAAGTAAAAATCTGAAGTTCAGGAGATTTTATCCAAGATAAAACTAATGGATGGTGATGTTGAAACATTTTTTCTCTCTTCACATGAAAGTTCTTTAGAACAAAAAATTAAATTCATCTCTTATTTAGGAACACTGAAGTACTAGGCTCACAATTTTTGGGAAGGCCCAGCCCTGAAGTCCACTGCTCTTGAAAACCTCATTTTACTCCTACAATTTTGCTTATTTGACTTTGTAGTCCTGTACTTGGGTGTTGTCCAACAGCAGTGCTGTATCCTAAGACCTTGATGGGATGTCCTACATTATCTTCATTTACTTCTCACAGTATCAAGTGTATCATAGATACTTAACAAAAGAGTATAAATAAACATCAGATGCTCTATGATGTGAACTCCACTCACACCCAGTGTCATTCCCAACTTGTGTTAATGATGGCATTTATGAATATTGATTTTATCAGTAAAATCGAAGAATAGATATGTTCAAAGAATGAAAAAACGAAGTTATTTTTCAAGTAAGCTCCAAGCAGCCAGGTGAGCCCAGGTAACCTTGCATTAGATGTGCCTTAGCATGCTTTGTGCTAAAAGCATATCATGATGCTCCTAGCTTTCCTTCTTGGTAAGACGATAGTAGAATTTTCTGGAAAGTCACACATGCTGTTCTTATGGCTCTGTGAAAGCTTCTGCTCATATTCATGTCTGCAAGGCCTTGGGAAACATCTGCTAATGTATAGAAAAGAAAGCCTTGCTTCTGATAGTACTCTTGCTACTACTGAATTAGATGTTGTTAAACAGGAAAGTACACCTTATACAAACATATCTGCTCCTGTATTCTTGAGATCTCAAAGGGAAGGGGAAGTCATCTAAATTTCTTTTATCCTGCCACTCAGTTATCAAGCACCTACTATGTGCTAGTTAAGGTCTGAGGATATAAAGATGAGCAATAAATGTATTCTGATGGCAGACAACTCATGGTCAGATGAGGGAGACAGGCACATAAATCGGTAGTATAGCATAATGCCTTAAGTGCTTACATGGACTTATGAACAAAATATTTCTTGTCAATTACACTTGTTTATTTTTCCTCTTAAAGCAACTGCATATTCCTCAAAGAGAAAATGGCTCTCAAGGCTCTGAGTTTTTAAATATTATGAACTATAATTGGCTTTCAGCAACTCAAAATGAATACCATGTTGATGCAAATAAAACAAAGGTCTCCAAATTGATCTAGGTTTTAAACAGTAAGGAAGAAAACATTAACAATAACTAATAAAAACTGTATCCCAGAAACATTCCTTACCTCTGAAGCAGAATAAGACAAGGAAATTCACAAATCCCTTTAAAAAATGTGTCAAAAGCAGGACTCAATAAAACATGGATGTAACATGAAACAAGCAACATAATGGAGATAATTGTGTTGTTGGACACAGGTTCTGAAATCCTTCTTCTAATGCCTACTGGACTCAGGTAAAAAATCTGCAATCTGTTAAGCAGTAGTAACCTTTTAAGGTAAGAAGGTCACCTTATTCAATATGGCTTTACTCTAGAGAAGAAACTGGGACTAAGGAAATGCCAAGTGCTTGCTACCAACACACAAACTTTTCCCCCATGCAACATCTCTTTTCCCTTAGAAAAAATTAATATCAAAATTTCTGCAAATTTAAATAATACTGTTAGTTTACATATGCACACACACACTCACACAGGCACACATACATACACACAGATGGGCATTAATGTCTTAATAACATTATTTTCAATCTTTGTAAAAATTTAAGCATTTAAGGGCATTACTGAATTTCTCAGCTTGCCTCAAAATGAGGCCTGTTTCACATAATTTTTTCATAATGCGTAATTGTCTATATAGAATTTATGTGCCAAGAAGTAAGTTCATCTGAATTCCCTTCTGAAAATTGAGACAAATTTGCCATCATGAAAAGGAGTAGAGAGTTTATTTACTGACTAGAGGGTGATGATATTTTAGCTCACTTCTTTATATAGTACAATTCTGTATCAATATCACTACCAAAATTTGAATGCACTCTCCCAGCTGAAAAATGACTCAAAGAAACATTCAGTTTTCTAAAAATTAAACATTGTCTTTGGATCTATCCTGTCTCTATTTTCAGAGACAAATGAACCAAATAAACTTATGTGTGATGATCAGATATAACTGTTATTTTCAGATGATGAGAATTCATTTTTACAGTCTGAAGTATGGAGCATTGAAATATTTGGTCTTCCAAGCCCTTTTTACAATCACTGCATAAGTTTGTTACTTTTCTTTGTCCTAATGAATGTTATGTTTTATGTCTTGAAAAAAGATCAATTGAAAAATTGGTTCTGTGGATATTAGAGTCTTTGGATATTTTACAACCATTTAGCAACTGGATTCTGGGGCAAAAGAAAAAAAGGTGTATTCCTGTTTCTTTAGTCTTCATTTTCCCCCCTCTCTAGTTAATCTGTACATTTCTTTGAGCTTGCTTTTTAAGTTATCATGTTGAATCATTCAGAAAAATAAAACTACTCTATGGTGTTTCTGATTGTATCACTTGGGCTAAGATGTTGTGATTGATCTAATCAGTTGTCCTTCCTAGTATAATGAAAATGAGATAGCCTCAGAGTCATTAGAGACTCAAAACCTAAAGACCAGCTATATCTGGAAAACACCTCTGAGAAGCAATCATTCCATAATGGTTCTAAATACAAGCAACAAAGATACTTGCAATAAGCAATTTTGAAGTATCAACCAAGGAATTAAACCAAGGACAATACAAAAAACAAAAATGAGAAGACATTTAAGCAAGGCACAAACTCAGACTTCCACTCCATCAAAGGTAAATTCTGGGGGAAAGGAGGTGGAAAAGTCTGATAATCAACCACCTGGACACCCTGAACTGATAGTACAGGAAGTACCAAAACAGATGAATGAGTCTCTAGAAAAATTCAAAGCAGAAACATTTTCCCAGACATCTACAGAGATGGTGAGCAGAGTGAAAGACATGATTAGAGGCTCTAGAACAGAAAAAGATAAAAAAAATTAGATGAGCTGAGAAACATGCTGGAAGCCATGAATGCCCAGCATAAGAAAGAAATGGAATCCATGAAACAGATACAAAGAGATATCCAAGAGATGAAAAACTCCATTGAAAGTGTGCACAGCAAATTAAGGGAATGTAAAGATAGAATATCAGATATAGAAGACAGGATTGTGGTTGATGACCATGAAAACAGAGATTTCTTCTAAATAGTAAGGGACCATGAGAAATAAATCCAGCAGCTGCTAGATAATGCAAAGAAGAATAACATAAGACTGATAGGGGTCCACAAAAAAAATAGGAGAAAGTACAATTGACTTAAAAATCTGTTCTCAGATGTAATAGTAGAAAACTTCCCAGACAGAGGAAACGAATTGGACATACAGATAAGTGAGGCATGTAGAACTCCAACTAGCCATGATCAAAAAAAAAATCTACACCTAGACACATAATAGTCAATATCTGAGAAACCCAACAGAAGAATAAAATCCTACAAGCAGTTAGAGAAAAGAAACAAATCACCTACAAAGGAAAGCCCATCAGAATCAGAGCAGACTTCTCTAGAGTGAAGTTTTTCAACCTCTAAAAGAAAATAGCTTCCAACCTAGACTGTTGTATCCTGCAAAATTATCTTTCAAAATTGATGGGGAAATTAGATACTTCCATGACAAAGAAAACCCAAGAAATTTCATGAGCACCAAACCAGCACTCCAAACAATTCTAAACAATATCCTAGAAAAAGACAATGAAGGTCACAACTCCATGAGGCCCAACAGAGGGAAGCCACCAGGCAAGGTGAGAAACTAAAGGGAAAGGGGGAAAAATAAATAAAACAGCCAACAACAGTAAAACATCATGACAAGGATGAGTCAATATCTATCAATTATAACCATCAATGCTAATGCCCCCAATTCACTAATCAAAAGAAATAGACTAGCAGGATGGATTAAGAAGCAAAATTTAACAATATCCTGTATACAAGAAACACACCTAACTCAAATAGAAATTCATAGACTGAAAGCAAAAGGATAGAAAACAGTTCTGCACATGACAGGAACCCAGAAAAAAGTAGGAGCAACAGTTAATGACTCATCCTTATATTGGCGTCCTTCCTTTCCCTATTCCAGTATTTCCCTGTTTCTCAATCCTGTTCCCTGGTATCGGTTTTAAATAAGCAGCCTCCAAGTAAACATTTCTTTATGGCTTTTTTGGGTGGCAATATTTGCTAAGACCTCTCCTTTCTCAAAGCTTAGCCCAGTAAAAGAAGTTGTTGTGGTTTAGATCTTAGATGTCCCCTGAAAGCCTGATATGTTCCTCTAGTGATTGACTCACTGAAGTGTTAAACTCATTGTTGTGTTAGTCCACTTATTGATTTGCAATTCCCATGCTAAAGGGTATAAAAGGGTAAAGGTGGGCTGGGACTCACTGCTCGCATGCCCTTGGGCTGCTGCTGAGCAAGTGCTCTCCCTTCTGCTTCTGACACACTGTCTTCAAAACCAGTGGATGTGAGGCAATAATATGTCTGCTCCAATGCAAGCTGTCATGCCTGCCACCTGGAAGGCCACCACCTTGGTTATTTTGCTTCATGGATTGGAAGATACTGGGCATTGATGGGCAGAAGCCTTTGCAGATATCAGAAGTTCACATATCAAATATATCTGCCCACATGCACCAGTTATGCCTGTAACATTAAATATGAACATGGCTATGCCTTCTTGGTTTGATATCATTGGGCTTTCACCAGATTCTCAGGCGGATGAACCTAGAATTAAATGGGCAGCAGAAAATGTAAAAGCTTTCATAGAGCAAGGAGTGAAGAATGGCATTCCTTCTAACAGAATTATTTTGGGAGGATTTTCTCAGGGAGGAGCTTTATCTTTATACACTGCTCTAACCACACAGCAGAAACTGGTGGGTATCACTGCACTTAGCTGCTGGCTTCCACTTCGGGCTTCATTTCCACAAGGTCCTATCAGTGGTGTTAACAAAGATATTTCTATTCTCCAGTGCAATGGAGGTTGTGACCTTTTAGTTCCCATAATGCTTGGTTCCATTACTGTTGAAAATTTAAAATCATTGGTAAATCCAGCCAATGTAACCTTCAAAACCTATGAAGGCATGATGCAGAGTTTGTGTCAACAGGAAATGATGGATGTCAAGCAATTCATTGATAAACTCCTACCTCCAATTGATTAATGACACTAAGAGGCCTTGTGTAGAAGTACATCAGCAGTATTGCAGTAGAGTATAAACTTTTTCCCATGCCCAATCTTAAAACTTATAATGTTTGCAGTGTTAAAATGTTTTGCAAATACACATCAATGATGTATAATAAATAATGTTTCATTGTGGGAAATTTATGATCTTTTAAGTTTCTATACATTTATTTCTATAATGTGATCCAGAATATACCAGTATTAAAACAGGTGAGGCAGCTAGGTTCTTTTTCTCAAATATAATTCAGCAAAATAATAAAATACTGTAACAAAATTTTTTATTACATCATTTCAAAATTAACAGTATGCTAATGATAATTTTTTCAGGTAAAATGAACAGCTTAGGTATAAATGATTTATGCATGCTGTGACTTAGTCTACGGATTTATTCCAAAATTGCTTAGTCACCATGCAATGTCTGTATTTTTCTATATATGTTCATTATACATAATGATTGTAATAGATAAGAATTAGATGTTATTACTTTATTTTTTTTTTGGTACCAGGGATCAAACTTGGGTCCATGTGCTTGTGAGGCAGGCGCTAGAACCACTGAGCTAAATCCCTGGCCGTATTACATTATTCTTGATAATAGGGATAATGCTTTTGTCAGTAAAGAGTAACATGGGTCTCTTCATTTAATGGTCCCTTTATTTGGGGGATCAGGTTTTCTTTTCCTTGATGGTATTTCTTTTTAATATTTTCTTTTCTCAAGAAAAAAATGTCTTCTTTCATGATTATCCTTCATAACAGACCAAATATATTGCCTCCCTGCCATATACATCTACTGTCAATACGCCCTATAATTTGACATTCTGAATTACAGACATGTGGTATTTGAAATCTATATAACTTTAAAAGAAACCAAACATTACTTAAACTTCTTATATTATAAATTTTAAATAATTATACTTTAGTGCAAATTTAGAATTATTTAGTTATTTAGAATTCAGATAATAAAATTATTTTTTCTGTAAGCAGTTGAATAAATAATTAGATCATATTCTGAAATGTACAGAAATATTTAAGACTGATTTTAAAAGCTAATTTCTTATTGAGTCTCCTTGCCATATTACTTTTTTGTACATATGTTTGAAACCAACTACTGTAGAAAACAATCCATTAGAAAAAGTTCGTAGGGGCTGGGGATTTTGCTCAGTGGTTCCACCGCCTGCCTTGAAAGTACAAGGGCCCTAGTTCGATCTCTGGTACCAAAAAAAGGAAAGAAAAAATTGCTTTATTTTTATCTACCAATGGTCTTATTTGAAATTTTCACTTCAAATTACTTTTTAAAATTAGTCTTTTATGCAAACACAAAAGCAAATCATTTGATTGTAAATAGTCAAAATTTCCAGATTAGTAGTAAAAAATTATTTGAAAACAAATTTTGGGGTAATAAAGGTTAATCAGAACCCTATAAATATGGAAGAGTTACCATACAGTTTAAAATGTAACAAAAATATATGCTTAATATTTCTGAACTATGTTAATTTTCTGCTCTATTTCAACTACCAAAACAGTGTTAAGAATGCATCTTTACAGTGCTAATTGATCCTGGAAATTATCTGGTAATAGACTACATAGGATGTTTATAATGAAGCCATATGTTTATCTGGATTTGAAATTTTTAAACAATCATTTAATATGTCATTCTGCTTTACCTGTAGACTTATTTCAGTTATACAAATCAGTAAGATCTTATTTATAGCAAGAAATATTCCATTGAAATGTTGTGCTGTAATGTGGGACAATGTAAATGTTTTTCATGGTTTCTATCAATGTGAAATAAAATATAATTCTGAAAAAAAATGGGTAAAGGTGAATTCCTTTTAAGACTTTTCTGGATAGCCTCAGAGACTCTGCTTCAGAAGGTTTACCTGGGTAATTATTTCCCCAGGATGTGTTTCCTGGAATTAAACCACCTAGGCACAAAACATCCTCTGCAGCCGTGATCCAAGGAGGCTAGGCTACTGCTTGAGCAAGTGACAGAACTTGATTTTTAGAGGAAGGTCTGAGAGATGAGGCAGTGTGATTCTGAGAGTTCAGTACATGAAGATGTGAGAGTGAGCCTAAAAGTCCAGTGAAGATTCTAGGAATTTGGAGAAGCCAGGAATAAGGAATATCTACTGAGAAAAGTTGTAGCCTGTGAGCAATGCCACTCCAAGAAAGAACCCATAAAAGGTGCAATTAGCAGAGGTTGAGTTGTCAAAGTCCTTTGAAACTCATAACTTGTTACAGACTGCCCCATGCAGTGGACAAGAAGCTATAGGACTTAACATATGTTCTGCTAGATTTTGCTCTTGCTTAGGTCACATTCTTTTCTATGCCCCCATTCCTCCTTTTTGGAATTGGAATGTATGTTGGAAATATCTAACTTAAAAAAAATTTTTATAGAGGCTCCTATCTTAAAGCTTGCCTTGAGTCTCAGAGAAGACTTTGGAGTTGGCCCTTTCAGCACTATTTGAACTGTTAAATAATTGGCAACTCTTAGAGGTGCACTAAGTGCATTTAGCATAAAGAAATTGACATGAGTCCTTTGAGGGCCATGGGCAGAGTGTTATGGTTTAGATTTAGGGTATTCCCCAAAGTTTCATATGTTTGGCATGGAACTGGATTATTGTGGCACTGTACTCAGCATACACTGTTGAATTTAGTAGCTAAACATGCTGTTAAGAGATGAAATGTGTTTAGAGGTAAGTCACTTGGGCATGACCTGGATAGATACATTCCTCACCCTAGCTCCTCACTTCTCACTCTGCTTCCTGACCATCATGATGTGGCGTATTTCTTCCAATCAGCCCCATCAGTCATGCTGGTTCTGCCTTGGGGCCAGCGGACTGGACTAAAACCTCAAAAACTGTGAGTCAAATAAACCTCCCTTCCCTTAAATTACAAGTGTTGGGTATTTTGTCCCAGCATGAGAAAGTGACTAAGACAGAGGTTTGCATTTGAACTAAGAAAGGGATGTGGATTCTTTGTTTCTTCAACTACTTGGATGCATATGACATTTTTAACAAGACTTGGTTCTTTAAAGACCTAAAATTCTAGCAAGAAAGATGACCAGTATGCAAATATCTATATAATTATTTAATTTTTCCTCTAATAATCCTCGAAAGGATACTGGTCAATTTATTTCCGTTTAGGGGTATGTAAAAGCCAAGACTGCACTTTTTTAGCTGTCCCCAAAATGCTTCTTTCTCCACCATGAGACCCTGGTATCCTTTACCTAAGGCAATAAGTAATCAGCATTAGAAATCATAATCACCATATTGGAGTAGCACAGTTCATCCTGTGAAGTACCCATTATGAGATCAAAACAGCCAATCCATCAATCCATAGGGGGAAAACAGCAATCCTTTCATAAAAGAGAAACAAACCTCACTACTCAGACACATTTCCTCCTAGAAAATAGAAATCCCCAATTACTACCTAACATGTGCAAGATATAAAGTGTCATTCAGAGCTGAGGATCTGCACTATATTTAAGAAATTATCAGCATCACAGCATGTTGGATGAAGATTCAGGACCATATCAGGCAGGGAAAAAAGAGAAGAAAAAGTCCCAAATTGGTTGCTTTCAAAATCCTATGTGAAGTAAAGTAACTTTTTTCAAAATTCCCATTTTCTTTCTAAATTTTTCCTGTTGACAGACTCCAAGGGCTCAGTTGTTGATGGAGTTGAGATCGAATAAATCTAATTACTTTAGATGCCTGGTTTTAAACTTTCTTGATTTTTTTGCAGCCTTTTCAATGATAAAGGCATTTAGGAGACCAGAATAAGAAAAAAATGAAAAATATTGATCTTCTAAACTCTCATATTGGTTTCAGTCACCACAATTTTGGGGTAAAAGAGAACAGTGATGTTAGAATTTGAGTATGCCGTGATCTTGTAGACTCTCCATTCCACACTTAAATGTATTCCCTGCCTTACTCATTTCAGTAAATGTCATAACTAGCTAAAATTACCAGGCACAGAGCTAGACTTTGGGAACACATTTTTGAATGTTCAACACATTTAAGTTGCAATAAATACATTGATAGTGACTATAGAACTATATAAAAGTCTTAAATCTGATCTATTTTTCATAGGCTCATGAGTCTGATCTTGTATATGTGATCAATGTCTCTGGAAAATTTTTCAGCAGAGGAAATGACAGACCTTTGGAATGTTAGAATTGTACCAGGGATCATAAATAATCATATTCATTCACCTCATTTCAAAAGTGAGAAAATAGATGCCCACACTTCAAGTGACTTGCACAAAGACACAATGAAACTACTATAACTGAAAAATTACTATTGATACATTCTAATTCTTAAATCATCACATTTATTCATTTAAATAATTCATATAATGGTTAGGGAATAAAAAAGGTGAAGAAAGGAGGAAAGGTTGTCATTTGCTCCTGGCAGTTTCAAACCTAATACTTGAGAGAAGTGATAATTAAATATTCTCCTAGAGAGACAAGCAAATAAATAAACACATTACATACCCCACTGTAATTTGGCTTTGTGGATTGTGACAATCCTACTCTTAATCCAAGAGAAGATCTGGAAATGGTTCTCTGTGGTCCTGAGCAGAGAACTGAAGAGTGTGGGAACATTAAGTAGTGAAAGAGAGTATGTGGCACGGTTAGTAGTACTTGAGTGTTCTGTGGCTCCTGAAAAAACTAACACAAACTTGGAGGCTTAAAACAACAGAAGTTATTATCTTACAATTCTAGAGGCTAAAAACCCCTAAATCAAATTTTGAGCAGGGTTAGTTCTTTCTTGGGAGCTCAGAAGGAGAATCTGTTCAGTGCCCTCTCTCCTAGCTTTTAGTGTTGTCAGAGAGCCCTTGGCTCTCCCCTCTCTTATATGACATCATAATTGCCATCTCTGTCCCCACCATCACTTGCCATTCTCCCTGTGTGTATGCATTTCTGTCCAGATACCCTCTCCTACAAGGATGCCAGTCACTGTACTTAGGGCCCTATTCCTG